AAGCAATCCGTCTTCATATTGAACGTTTAACCTTTTCCATCTCAGGCTTCACTTCGATGAGATGGATATGAAGATAAATATATTTATAGTAATGGTGGCACCATTGCTCCAAATCACGGTAAACTTTGTAATCCAATATCAGAACAAAGATTAATTTTCATCATTAATCATATAAACTTTTTGTACAGTTTATTTCCAAAAACTGAAAATCTTTCAAATCTTCTACCATTACAGCCTATAAAGACCACTATCGAACATAGGCCTCCCCCATAGGTTGCCTCATAGGGGGGATAGTCATAGTCACAGACGTTTATTCCCTAGAACAATATTACATTATTGGAAATTGATTACACGAAATTAAGAATTATGTTTGCATGCAGTTAACATAAACACATAACATAACATAAACACTCACGCCTGTCACCCAGAGGGGTAGGGACTTCCATTTGGCAAGATCCTGACATATCTCCCTCGCCCCCTTTTACATCCATATATCTGCGCATACACGCTCGCAGTGAACATAAATAAAACTAAAATCGAATAATATTTTAATATTTTTTGACAAATATTCTAATATTTTTCATTGCCTACATAATAGATTATATATTAAACAGTACATAAACAAAAAAAATTAACATTCATTTATGTTTGATAATGATATTGTCATAGTTGCCATGCTTGGCGAGCGCGGTGGCAACAGAAGTTTTTTTTATAATTTTGAGTTATCAGAAAGATGCTGGTGCTCCCTCTGTCACCTCTTACTACACCCACAAGTTGATATGGGATAGTGGATATTCTTCCACTGCGACTACACGGTTAAAATAGTAGTGAGGGCTAATAATCTTCCACTCACCAGATATCGTTAGTTGGCACTGAGGTGAAGTTTTTTTATAGTATAAGGGTGACAAACGAGCACACAGCCCACCTGATGGTAAGTGCATACTGTGGCCCATAGACATCTATATTTATCCTCGATTTAGAATCTAAACGAAGATACCTTGTCACCCATGAGGACTAATATGGAATGCCTCGTTTCCAGTAGAGGGTCTCTGGTTCTCTACCCCACCGACCCATTTGTGCTACAACCATAATATAGCTACAGCGTGGCTCTACCACGTATAGAATATTTAATAAAAGCATTTCAACTGAGAACTTGCGTTTTAGATAAAAGTTTATCGGTATTTCGATTGTGAAAATACACAAAACTATGCCGCACTAGCTTTCTATTTAATTTTTGAACATTTTAAACTCCCCTTTTAATTTTTATATTTTTAGGCATATACATAGTTTGGTTAAAAAAAATATTTCGAAGACATATGAAGTTCGCCAACACGCACTGGGGCAGCGCGGCGGACAATTCCTTGCCCTAAAACCCTCTCAGAAATGAGCGGAGGCCTGTGCCCAGCAGTGGGACGTATGTAGGCTGTAACTTTACTTTACTATACATAGTTTGGTTTATTCATTTCTAATCTAATTAATATAAAATGTAACTAGTATTTCAGAAAGAAACATCAATCTCTAAACTTTTCTTTACAAATTAACTTCCCACCTTCCCACGCTATGAAATCTGGCAAATATTTCATCTCATTGCTTAGTGACGCTGCTCTTTCGTTAATAAATCTTTTCACACAATATTGCTTAAATTTATAACAATTGTAAGTAATGATTCACAACGGCGGTTAAGAAAACTGTGAGGAGACCTGCATGTCTGAGAATTAAAAAATATATTTCGAACACGTGTGAAGTTTGCCGACATGCATAGGGACAGCAGATTGCCTGAATGGGGCATCCCCTCATTTACCATAGTTGAACCGGTGACCCGGTTTTTACTATTCTGTTGTCATCGGAAAGACGCTGCAGCTTCATCTCACCCATCATACCCACGGGACGATATGGCGTAGTAAATATTTTTAAACCGCTTCTACACGGTCATAAACGTGTTAATTTAAAAAAGATTTAACTTAGAATAAGTTAGTAAATAGTAAGTAGATAGTGAAAGCAGATTGAATTACATTGGTAAGTAATTTAAAAAGTAAAGTTACAGCCTATATACGTCCTACTGCTGGGCACAGGCCTCCCCTCATTTCTGAGAGGGTTTTAGGGCAAGAAAGTGTCCGTCGCACTGCCCCAATGCATGTTGGCGAACTTCACATGTCTTCGTAATATTTTTTTTCTTGTTCCTCGGACATGCAAGTTTCCTCACGGTGTTTTCCTTCACCGCCGAGCACGTGGTAAATCAGCACTTAAAATTGCAATTAACAATTTCATTGGTACCGGCGGGGATCGAACCCGAAGAGCCGTGGTAGCTCGGATGGTTAACGCTCGCTGTTACATAGGTAATGGCATTAATTAAATAAATAAACGCAAACATGAACTTAATTTTTTGATCTTCATTCTTTAATAATTTATTTCATTAAATTGTAATTGTAATAATAGTTTGGAATATTTTTTTATAGAATAAGGGTGATAAGCGAGCACACAGTCCACCTGATGGTAAGTGGATGCTGTAGCCCATTAACATCTACATTTATGCTCGATTAAGAATCAAAATGCAGATGCGTTGTCACCACTGCTCACTAAACAATATTGGTTACAATTAGTTTTAACGAAGTTTTTTTTAAATCACTTTTGCCTAGCAGTATTAAGTAAATAAATTATTTGATATTTTACGAAAAGTTTATTGCTAATCGATTTTGGGACAAACAAGTTCTTCCTTCGCAGAACTGGTTAATTAAATAATATACAAGATACCCGCGGCTTTACCGCGCCTTGAGCTACACTCGTTACGTTAATTCGATGTTGTTATTTTTTCCAACATAATATCACGGTAGAGTCACGCTGCAGCTGTATTATGATTTTAGCACGAATGGGTCCGGGGTAGGACCACGCTCTCACAGAATATCACCGTAAATTAGGTAGTTTAATGCTGCTGTGTTTCGTATGATAAGTGTAAAGAACCGGAGACTCTTTTTACTGAAAACGTGGCACTCCATCTTAGTCCTCAGGGGTGACAACACATCTGCATTTTATTTATCAACTGAGGATATGAAATTAAAAGAATGATTTTTTTATCTTTAATATATATAAATTACGTGTCACGTTGTTTGTCCGCGATGGACTCCTAAACTACTTATCGGATTTTAATCAAATTTGCACACCGTGTGCAGTTTGGTCCAATTTGAGAGATAGGATAGTTTTTTTGCCCATGAGTGACCCACAATTATTTTTGCTAATTTAAGGATTTTTAATAGGATCAACGTCTGCCTGGCAAGCTAGTTCAATATAGATTATTGCATAATACTTATTTAAAGTCATTTTATTCAAAAACATTCGAAATATATTGATTCTTATTGATAGAAGACATCTGCATTGTGTTTCTTAACTGAGGATAGATGTAGATGTCTATGGACCACAATATCCACTTGCCATCAGGTGGACTGTGTGCTCGTTTGTCACCTTTATTCTAATTGATCCTGACGAACTTAGGAAGAACTAGTTTAATTACGTATTTTTCCAAATCAAAATCTGGTTCGGCCGGCAATTAACGACTGCTTTCGTCGGTCGAAAATTGGTTTTGGTCGGGAAAGTTGGGACTGCAACATGCGTGGTAGAGCCACGCTGCAGTTAGCTATATTATATAGCACGAATGGATTGGCTTGACAGGAAAGTAACAGTTCTCAGAGCATACCAACGTGAATATGTTGCATTTCGTATGGTGAGTGTAGAGTACCGGGGATCCTTTTTACTGGAAACGGTAGGCATTCCATCTCAGCCAATGCCGATAATCATTTTGATTCTTAATCCAGGATAGATGTAGATGTCTATGGGCCACAGTATTCACTTACCATCAGTTGGACTGTGTGCTCGTTTGTCACCCTTATTGTATAAACAAAGTGCACTAATACGTGAAGGAAAGCCTATTTATGGTGAAAGGAAATACTGAGGAATTAAATCTTTGCTTTATTGAGTTTAGCAATATGTTTTAATATAAAAATTAGTCAAATAAAAATATTTTATCGTCACCATCGGTACACGCATCCGCTTCTCATCAGGAGGACTGTGTGCTTGTTTGTCAGATTTTATAAATAAATTTATGCTTATTTTTTTATTGTTAGTGCAACTTCCGTCGATGCATGTGTTGTATTGCTTTGGATATTATGTATTGTTTGATTAGTTGTGTAGTTAGTAGTAATGCAATCAATTCGTATACCTATGACACGGTACGGTATACTTTTTTTGCGTTATTATTATTATAATAGAAATAATTTAATATTAGTCAAACTTTGCTTTCGACAGAATACATTAAATTAAAACATAAAATTTTAAAAAATCGTAAAAAATAAAACCTTTAAATAAAAAATATAACGTGCAAAACAAAACTTAGTTTTTAGGTCTTTTGGAATTTTCTACACAAATGTTTGCGTGTAATCGTTCCAAATTCAAAATTATCACGAGGGAAATAAGATTTCAACACAACACGTATTTTTTAGATTATCAGGAATTTTTTATACAACATTAGATAATAAAACGTTCCAAATTCAAAAATACTACTCGCGAAATAACACGTATTTATAATAACACGTTTTATTACGTAAAGGTTATTAAGAATCTTTTACACAGAATTTTTGCGGTCCATCTAACAGCTAAATTTCTTGCAGTCAATAAACGATTAAACAAAATTGCTAATAAATAGAAAGTAATCAATAAGAAGACTGGTTTACGGAACGTCGACAATAATATTAATGTTAAGACAAACTCAAGAGGCAAACCTTCGCTGGTGAAAGGCCGTGGTGCGTGGTGATCTAACAGAAAAGCCAAATTAAAAAAAAGTGAAAGTGCTCAGTGCGCGTCGCGTTGTCGCGTAAAGTGAACGTTAGATCGCGAATTAAAATCAACGAAGACAAGTGTTAAAAGCGACGAAGTCTTTGTGTGAAGAGGTTTTCCTCTTGGTTGTATATTTATTATATTGTGCGGGGTAGTCCGCCCCCGGCGGTCGGCCAATGACGCAGTCGGTGACGCCCCCGCTCGGCTTCGCGCCGTTCTGCATTTTAGCCGTGCTCCTGTTACAAAATGCCGGTAAGTCGATCCTGTTTCCTTGGGACTTGCACGGAGGTCGTTCGGAACGTTTTCGATTCCATTTCAATTTCCGTCCAGATTGTATTTACTTTTAGATTTTGGGTCTGTGGAAAGTTTCCGAACGTAATTCGTGTCAACGTCCTTGTTTTTTAAACGATAAGGTTTATATTACAGGTCCTGTTCATCTTATAAAATATATTTTAAAATTGTAATTCCATTGTAAATGAACATTTTCTGCTTCATATAACAATTATAAAAATATTTGCATTATTTTTAAAAAATGAATGCAATTAAAAATATGCAAAAACATAAATAAAACGAGGTATTTATCAACATCATATTTTAAGAAAACACACTTAAAGAAACTCTGTGCTGTAGCACGAAATTGTAAAAGGCATCGGTCTCAGAAATAGCACTGGTTTTCAGTTGGGCCCATACTCTGTCTTGTATATATAATATATTCTGTGACATACTCTGAGGCAACTCGGACGGTATACAGACATGAATTAGCCTGATTGCACGAGTGACGTGATCCTGCAAAGGGCATTGACTTAACATAATATCGCAGAGTTGCGTAAGCGTTGGTTTTAAGCAATGCCAATTGAGGTTGGACTCGCCCGCGAGGATACTCTACATAAAATAATACGTCCATTATCAATTACGTCCTATAAAAGTTCACGGCTGAATATAAGCCTCCCCCATAGATTGCCACATAGAGGAAACTTGGCCATAGTTGCCACGCTTGACTGGCAACCGCAGTTTTTATAGAGAGTCTTTATTAGGAAGATTCTGCTGCCTATCTCCTGATTTGTTTCCCTCTGTCGCCTCTTACGACACCCACGGGATGATATGGCGTAGTGGATATTCTTACACCGCTACCACAAGGTCAAAATAACGCATAGCGTTTGCATTAACAAGACGTTACGCACTCTTGAGACTGCTGACCGTTTTCGGTCTGGATATTTGCGGTTTTTTTTTAATAGAATAAGGGTGGCAAACGAGAACACAGTCCACCTGATGCTAAGTGGATGCTGTTGCCCATAGACATCTATCATCGATCAAGAATCAAAATGCGGATGCTTTGCCACCCCTGAATACTAAGATGAAATGCCCCGTTTCAAGTATAAAGGGTCTCCGGTTCTCTACGCTCACCATACGAAACATAACAGCATTGAGCTCCTATTTTACGCTGGGAGTCTGTAAGAGGCGTGATTACCACGTAAGAAAAGATGTCCGGTGAAAAGACTACAACGCGATCTTTCGAAAACCATACGATTGTTGACTGATATTTTCCATAGTTTCCTCTTACGAGTTGCCTTTTTTATACCTGGTAGAGCCAGACTGCAGCTATATTATGATTGTAGCACGAAAGGCTCAACCAGGGAAGGACCACGCTCTCACAGAACACCAGCGTAAAATAGCAGCTTGATGCCGCTGTGTTTCGTATGGTGAGTGTAGAGAACCGAAGACCCGTTTTACTGGAATCGAGGTATTCCATCTTAGTCCTCAGGGGTGATTGATTCTTAATAGAGGTTAGACGTAGATGTCTATTGGCCACAGCATCCACTTACCATCAGGTGGACTGTGTGCTGTTTGTTACCCTAATTCTATAAAAAGAAAAACGACACCCACGTAACGAAATGAGGTGGTGAATTATCCTGCGCCTCAAATATGGTATTTTTAAGCCTTACCATTACGATTACAGCCAAAAGTCCACTGCTTGACACAGGTATCTCCCACAGGCGGAATATTTGCCAAAGCTCACGCTTGGCAAGCGGGCTGGCAACCTCAGTTTTTTTATTATCCATCTCCTGCTTTATTTCCCTCTGATCTTATCGTACTTGGCTTGTAAGATAGGAATTTTTAAGTAAATTCTATCAAGTATAACTATATGAGGGACTCTACTCTTACTCCAAAGATTTAAGGTTTTGAGTCTAATGGCAGCTAAAGTAGCTTCTTGTTGTATGTGTAGGTGAAGCGGGGTTAGCTAATCATAAGCCAGCATAGCCCCTCTAATATGCATATGCAGCCTGTGGCAGCCATACATGCCAATCTCTGGTAACGCTGAAACTTCTTTATAGTGGTGGATTCTTTATAGTGGCTGATTACGGGTAGTCCATTCTTACACTGCTGCTACATGGTTATAGCATTAAAACTTCGGTTGGCTTGTCTCAATAAAGGCTTAACATCTATGCAGGGAAAAATTACAGTGCACGAGTATGTGCGTAAGCTCAAATTCACTCACTGTTACCTCGCTCCCAAAATCAGATAGAGGTCAGGCGTAGGACAGCTTTACGTGTTTCCGCGCCATAGGAATGAAATACTGCCAATTTCCCACCGGAGTGCTACTGAGAATTTCTTGACAGAAAACCTCAATATAACTGACTTTATCAGCCGATCCGGGATTCGAATCGAGACCCATGTGGCCATTAGCATATCAGCAATCGACGACTCTTAGACCAACGAGGCATTACAGATTGTAACAAGTGTGGCAACATTGCAAAGTAGTTCAAAGCTTTTACTTGTACTTGCGAGTTACGTCATTAAGATCATGGCAACACAGATGTCAAATAAAGTGCGCTCAATCAATAACAAAACCTTAGACTCAGACAGTGCTCCAGGCTAATATATGTCTTAACATATGCAACGTACAGGTTATAACGGTGTGTGACCCACTTATTATGATCCGCAGTACTTAGACGAATATTTTTAGATTATTTCTAACGGCTATATCAAGGAAATCTGGCCATTAGTAGTTTTATATTATTTAAAACTACGATCTGCCACGGCTTCATACGAGTGATTTCTGGATCTCGACAACAGCGCCAACTCTCGGGCCCAATTGTCACTCTCAACCATCCAGGGACCCCAGGGACCATTCAAACACACAAAAACATTTCATCAAAATTAGTCCAGCCGTTCTCAAGATCTTTCATACACTTGATTTTTTTATATAGATTATTCTATAGCAGAAGACCTGATGACATTGGTCCCTTAAAAGGGACGTAATGTAGTGTGGAATGCTACTTACTTAGACACTGACAGCCTCTCATCTCAGGGTCTCCTCGTTTAGAGCCGGGACGACATCAGATACAGATGAATTAAGTAAGTGGCGCAAATATGAGTCTCTGAGAGATGAAAACATATTTGTGCCATTTGTTGTAGGTACTATTGGTCCGTGGGGTCCACAAGCGATGAAGGTGAGTGCTATTGTCGCTCCTGCAATACAGAGGTGCTGATTTTCCTCACTCAATGGCTAACTATAAAAATTCTGTGAGAAAACCCTATGCAACTATGCTTCTTTTCTTGCAATTACGCTATGTTTTTATACGTGGTAGAGCCACGCTGCAGCTATATTATAGTTGTAGCTCGAGTGGGTCAGCTCGACCGGGGAAGAACCACGCTCTCACAGAATACCAGCGTAAAATAGCAGCTTAATACTAATGTGTTTCGTATCGTGAGTGTAGAGATCCAGAGGCCTTTTTTTTACCGGAAACGAGGCATTGCATCTTAGTCTTCAGGGGTGACAACGCATCTGAGTTTTGATTCATAATCGAGGATTAATGTAGATGTCTATGGGCCACTGCATCCACTTACCATCAGGTGGACTGTGTGCTCGTTTGTCACCCTTATTCTATAAAAAAATTAAAATGTATTAGACAGACCCATCATTCTCATCATAATCATCAAATGTAACCCATGCCATCATTCTACCGAAAAAAGATGACTGACACTTAATGGTTTTTTATATTTACACGAAATTTTTATTTTGGATACCTCCAACTTGGGTTAAATATTTTTTACACATTGAATAGCGGTGACAAACGGGCTCACAGTCCACCCGATGGTAAGTAGATGCTGTGGGCCATAGTACCACCATAGCCTACTTACTATAATGATTTCTTAAATTTACGCGAACACTACACATTAAATAAAACTATATATACGGATTCTATTGCGTTTAATTTACTTATTAATAAAATATAATATAAAAATAAGTTAAAATAAGTAAATTAAACGCAATAGAATCCGTATGTATAGTTTTATTCAATCATTCATATTCTATCCTTGACTAAAAATCGAAATATCGAAGCGTTGTTTACCCCTGAAGACTAAGATGGAATGTCTCATTAATTGTAAAAAGAGTCTACTCTTGTACACTTTCCATATGAAACACAGAATCATTAAGCTGCTATTTCACGCTGGTAATCGGTGAGGACGTGTTCCTTGCTTGTTCGAACCGACTCATTCGTGATTCAATCATAATTTGGCTACAGTGAAACTATGTCCCCAGTAATCATGGATGCTGCAAAGCACCTGAAACATCGGTTAAACTTAGATTTTATGGAAGTAAAAAGAATATAATCAGCAAAATCGGTTGACGCGACTAAATTTATATAGGACCTACCTTGTGGTGCCTCGTTTCAAAAAAATGTTTAATAACATTTTTAGCATGAAATTATTGAAATCGTACAACGTGATAAATAATTATCGCTGATAATACATAAAACTGATACGATACATGAAATGTGCAGCAGCATTGCCAAACTGCCTGCCAAGTATGGCAACTATGGCAAAATACCCCCTACAAGACAATATATGGAGTAGGCCTTTGTTCAACAGTGGACTATTACAGGCTGCAATCGGAATGATTACATAAATCATATTTCGAAGAATTGAGGACATTCCCTTTTTTCGGCGTCTGTTGCTATGTAACAAGGGGTAAAATAAAAAAATTACATCCGACTTTAATACGAGCGAATCAGTGCATTCGAAGTCAATAAAATGCGCGTTATTAAAGATAACTCAAAAACTACTCGTCAGATCTTGATTTTATATCAAACCACACGAAAAGCACCAGCTTTCAGATAAAAAAGGATCATCAAAATCAGTTCTCCCAGAGAAATTTTATGAGGTAACACACACAAGAAAAGAACATACAGTCGAATTAAATACCTACTCCTTTTTGAAGTCGGTAAAAATAAGACAAATTAATACCG